GAGGAAAAGGAAAAAGCAAATGCAAGATTTTTTCAGGGTCTCTTGTTAAGGTAAAGCAATGAAATTTCCGAGCGCTCTGCAGCTCCACGGATCCGCTCACTCTGACTTGGAGGCGGTGGAGAGTGTGTTTGGAGCCTGGGCCCTGGAGTCACTGCCCTGTGAAGANGAGAGAGAGAGAAAGGAAAGAGCAAATACAGTGACTTTTTCAGGGTCTCTTGTTAAGGTAAAGCAATGAAATTTCCGAGCGCTCTGCAGCTCCACGGATCCGCTCACTCTGACTCGGAGGCCCTGGAGAGTGTGTTTGGAGCCTGGGCCCTGGGGTCACTGTCCTGTGAAGCCCAGCGTCACTGCCCATTAGCTGTCTGACCCGGGACACCCAGAGCATTGCAAAGCCTCACTTTCCCCATCTGTAAAATGGTAGCAAGGACAATTGTAAGAGACTCTTGGGGTGCTGAGGGAGTAAATGAGACAATGCAAATAAAGTGCTCCGCCCACGTCTGGGGCACAGGCACTCATTCCACAGTGTCACCAGCTGTTTGTCTACCAAGCAGCTCTTCCTGGTCAGGCCTTGGGCATGCTAGGTGCCCCCGCAGGAGCTCCATATAGCTCCAGCTTTCTCCTGCTGGGTGAGGGAATATAGCTTAAGGGCTTCACGAAGATGACCAGGGACATGTTGAATTTTCACCTTCAGTGCTACTTCGGAAAAGATTCCCTGCACTGCAGACTTTCTCCAGTATAATCGAGCAATGTGTTAAAACCCAGGCCTCCAACTCTTGTGCCATTTCAACTGGTCACTTTCAAGATCATCAAACTTGAGGAGTCACTGGTCACCTAAAGTCCCCAGGCTTCACTTTCTCTCTGGTGAAATGGGGGTGGTGACAGGGGACCTGCTTGTTCCACAGGGTGGCAAATGTAAATTGAGTCATTGATCTTGATTTGAAGTTACCCCCAGAGGTCAGGAGACAGTTTTGTAATTACATAAACCTACGATCTTTTTGTTTGGGTTGGGTTGAGTTTCTTGTGAGGGTTACTTTGCCTGATTCTTACACAAATGTCCTTCCTCTTTGCGTGTTCCCATTTCTCTCTTATCTCCCTCCCCATCGCCCTAAGTGCTGATCATACCCTGTTCTCCCTGTAGCCCCACAGGCTCCATCCCGACAACCACACCTACATTCTAATGTCCAGATCTTTCCTCTTCCCTCATCCTGGTCAAAATTTGGCCCTGTGACCTCTCCCCTCTGGCTTTCAGTCTCAGGGTTAAAATCAAGATCTTGACCCAGTTACCTTG